ACAAGAGATTGGGACTCTTAACCGCTATCTGGAACAGCTGCAATGTAGATGGAAAGACAATGGGGATGAGATTAAAGGTGTCACTACTCGGATGGATAAATTGGAGGAAAAAGACGAGAAGTTCTAGCATCAACAATCCCGTATCAAATAGCTGCAAGCGGGCAATTCGAACTCCTACTTTTTTCACCAAATTACTATCCAACGCCGCCGCTTTAATAAAATTGAGAAAATGTAGGATGCGTAAGGGAATTGGAAGAAGGGATCAGTCGATATCTAACGAGGTGGTCAATATGCATTTCAAGTGTCTCTTCACCTCTTGGGCAGTCGAGAGTGGGGATCAGTTTTGAATAGTGTGCAACCATCTGTCACTGAGGAGATGAACTCTCATTTTTCGAGCCCGATTGATGGCTGAAATCAAGGCGGTCATTTTTCAGATGGGTAGTCTGTGGGCCTCGAGCCACAATGGTTTCCAGGGGGTGCTTTTCCACTCCTACTGGGATGTTATTCAAGGGGAGGTAAATGCAATGGTTCATGCTTTTGCTAATGGTGATGACAGCCCAAGGAAACTTAATTCAACCCATATTGTTTTCAGTCCAAAAGTTGCAAACCCGATTCCGGTGGGATAATTCCATCTGATTAACCTCTGTAACTATTCGTATAAAATCTTTTCGAAGATCTTGGCTAATCGATTGGAGCCCTGGTTGTCATCCCTAATATCCTCGAGCCAGAATGCCTTTGTTGGGGGAAGACGAATTCATGATAATATTCTAGCAGCACACAAGGTCTTCCACTTTCTAAAACTCTGAAAAGTCAAGACGAAGTTTGAATTAGCAATGAAGATTGATATGAACAAGGCTTATGACAGGATAGAATGGGATTTTTTTTTAGAAGCAGTTATGCTCCATATGGGTTTTAGCCAGTGGTTGGCCAACATGGTGATAGGATGTGTATCCATGGTGGATTTTTCTGTCCTTATCAATGGGCAGCTAAGGAAGAAATTTAAACCGTCAAGGGGCCTCTGACAAAAGGGATCCTCTCTCACTATAGCTTTTCCTCATCATGAGTGACGTCTTGTCTAGGCTAATACAAGGGCGGTGGAGGATGACTTTTTGGAGGGAATTTGACTTAGTATGCACGGCCCCACCCTCTCCCACATATTCTTTGTCAATGATGCCTTCATATTCTTGCAGCTTCGACACATAAATGCCAGAACATTGTGAGGATCCTCGACTTTTACTGCTTAGCGTTGGGACATGAGGTTAGTATGCAAAAGTCATTTGCATTTTTTGGGGCCAACACCCCGCTCGCGACTCGGATGGAGTTATGTGGGGTTTTGGGTATGCAAATGGTGGAGGACCCTGGATTGTATATGGGTATGCTGACAATTTGGGGTAAATCTAATAGGTAGGATTTGGCGTTTATCAAGGATCGAGTTACGGCAAAAATCCAAGGTTAGAAGCAAAGTTTCTTATCCCAAGTTGGCAAAGAGGTGTTAATTAAGGCTGTGACTCAAACCATTCTTGCATATCCCATGAATGTATTCTACTTCCATGAAAATTTGTGCAACGATATCGATTCGGTGGTTGCCAAGTTTTGGTGGGGCCAGAAGGAGAAGGAGCTCAAAATCCAATCGATGAGCTGGGCTTCTATGGGCTTGGAGAAAAGGAAAGGGGTATGGGTTTTAGGAAACTGCATGAGTTCAACCTCGCCCTGTTGGCAAAGCAATGTTGGCGTCTAATACATGAACCCAATTCTCTATAAGCTCGGGTGATCAAAGCAAGGTATTTCCCAGACTGTATAAGTGCTAATGCTAGAATAAGTTACATGCTACTTTAGGGTGTAAGTAATCTGTTGTGTGTTGTGTGTTAGACCACAAGGAAGGGGAAGCCTAGGCCGAAAGTACATGGAGTAATGTGGAAGCAAGAATAATTCTTTCACTTTCTCCTCCTATAGTAATTTCATTGTTGTCTGTCCCGCTCAAGTGAAGAAAATGGCTCATGTTGGCCAAGAAGTTATGATCGTTGGGGGTTCACATTCATTGCATCGCCATGAGAAATTGCCTATTGCTGTTTCAAAAGCTATGCGAAGCTATTCGCTGCAAGAAACTAAGATTGATGGATGCTTCCATGTTGGTCAAATTCATTAGTCATGCTTCTTTCCTCGTCGTACCATCAGGGTGGAACTTGAATTAGTGAAGTCATATCTACATTCTAATTTTATTTTTATTTTTTTCCGATTGGAAATGCTCATCCCAGGAGATGGAACGGAACGATCTGCTGATGTGCTTGCTGCTGGTTGATTTCAAGTGGCTGACCCATCTCCTAAGAAAATGATTTAGTACTGGTTTGGTACTGATATGTTTTTATAAAAAGTGAATGTCAAAAAAAGCTGAACTCAAAAAGATTTTTGGTAAATACTTAAAAATAACTTATTTTCATAATTTTTGGTTAAAAAAAAAGTTGAAAACATAAAGCAGTAAAAAATAAGTTTATTCTCACAGCATAGCAGAATAAGTTTTTTCAAAACACAACAATATCAAACCAGTCCAAAAAAAGTCGGAATATATCAGAAATGGCTTCCAGGCTGCATTATTTGTGCATCAAATGTATTCAGAGCCCAGTGCTGACTTCATCATCTATACTTTCTCACTCAAAATAAATATATATTTTTTAAATTAAAATTCTTAAAAAAAAAAATTCAAGGGATCCTCAGAAACCATGCTTATAGTTATCATCAATTCCATGATCAGGTCTCAAAGATTTAATCCATCATCGGAGCCCCCACTACGCAAATCCAAATTCTTCAACAAATCAATTTAATATAATATCAGATGCAAAAAACAAACAAACAAACAATCGGATGGAAAAAATAAAAATAAAAAATGAAAAGGGAATTTGGCAGGGTGTTATTCACTGAGCCTGGCAATTGTTCAAAGGCGAAGTGACTCAACGTTCCTGCGCAAAATCTACCTCCTCGTTCTTTATAAAGAACATAAACCCCTAAAGATCCAGATTAATGGGATCCAAGGCTTCATCAAGAGGCGCAAGATAGCAAACACCTCAATACTTTCTCTCCATTTTTATCACAAAAACCAAAAGAATAAAATCAAAATAAAAATAGAGCAGAGAGGCAGGGTTGTGGGTTTAAATATTGGAATTTTTTTGGAGGATTAGGGTTGTGGGGAGATGAAATGGTCGAGATTTATACTAAGAAAAGCCCCTTCCTGTTAGTGATATTACGAATGAACCACTACATTCGGCCCACTTGGATCCAACATAAACAGCCCAAATCCGGAACTGCATGCCCAATATTTCCTGGACCACATATGGGCCTACAAAAAAAAAAAAAAAGAAAGGAAGAACAAAGCCCAAACGTTTAGTAAAATATACCTTACAGAACTCGAACCCGGACTCTGATTCCTATGGAATTTATTGAGCCACACCCGTTGATGTGATAGTTTGGGATCGACCATTTTATTTTTGGGAGTTTTAACGAAAAACTCACGATACTGTTCACTTTAACAAAAAAACCAAATTTTTACACTAAAAAGTCAATCTTGATACCATTTACTTTATCTATTATTTTGTCTTTGTCGTTAAAACTCAAAGTTTTCAAGTCTTTTTCATTAGTTTTCCTTTTATTTTTTATTAATAAAAAAGGGGAAAATCCCAACTCATGAGGATATAAGATGGTACAAGTCAAGTAGTGTGGAGAATCAGATACCGTTTGAAATGCAAATGTTTTGTTGGTTTACTTCTAAACCCTCTACATACACATAATAGACGACAAACATACTCAAGGCTCGTCCGGTAGCCAAATTGGACTATACAGATTTGGTTCGTAATCCTTTTAAAAGATTGTAATTCTCTTTGAATTTTTTTTCCCAAATGAAAAGTGTTAGTAAGTTAAATTGTTAGTTGTTAGAGTGGAGGAGGATGTTAAGTAGGAATCGAGCATGCACACAAGTGCATACGCACTATTGTTTTCTCCTATTGCGGTAATGTGTCATCATTGTAATTCCATTTGAATCACATTTAACAAAAAATCAATGGTATATACAAGGGAGAAAACAAGGGAATTAACTATTAAGTAAATAAAAGTCAAATATATTAATATGTCATAACAGACAGTGGCGGAGTTAACATGGGGTCATTGGTTGTCATTGACCCCAACAACTTCAGAAGCCCCATGTATATTTGTTTTGTATATTGTATTTGACCCTATAAACACCAAAATCAAACTAAATTACAATCTCCTCTTCATTATTCTTCCATTTTCTTCTATCATATTTATCTTCCTTTTCTCTCTTCTTCTATGAAATACTTTAGTTGAAAAACCTTGACATCCTTCATCATTACTCTACATTATCTTGCATCCACCTTCGATAAGTCTCTAGAAATAATAGTAGTTGTCGACATATGTTGGCATAAACTTTCGGCATATATTGATAAGCATTGGCAGATGCCTACTAGGTGCTCGACGAAATTGCGCAATGAAACTTTTTTTGGTTGATATGATGATCCATACGCCACTGATAATAGATGATAGTATCTGTTCGTTTTTTATGGAAAGAAAAAGTTGGAATAAACTTGTTTTGGTAAGTCAGTTTATGCTACTAATTTGAGGTTTAAACTTAATCAAATCAAACCCTAATTCATCATTAATTCAATAATTACCACCATCTCATATCAATGTCGTATAATTCAAAGTTCAAACTTAACCGTAGAAATGGGAGATAAAGACATCTTGGTCTTCGGCTGGTTCTGCACCGCTCGGTGTTGTCAATCAAACTCCCAACAAACAAACAAACAAAACCTGCCAGTCCCCCCACCATTCCAAAGAAACCCTAACACTCATGACGTCACTCTGTACGCATTAGTCACACGGAATTACCCACGTGGCAATTCGCTGTTTACTCTCGAAATCTTGTCAACCACGCAATTGTTGCACCAACCTTTTCTGTCTATAAATACCCGAATGCCGCTCACAAGGTCCAAGTTGCATTCCACAAGCTCCACGCAGACGTCGTTTATCACACAGCGCCTTTCGCATCGCAATGTGTCCCTCCGGCCGAACTCTCAGCGCGCAGACGGAGACGACGGCGCTCACTTCGGACTTCCGTTCAGCATTCGACGTCCTGGACGCCGACCGCGACGGAAAGATCAGCAAAGACGACCTCCGAGCCTTCTACGTCGGCTTCTCCAGCTCTGGCGTTGACGAAAACCTCATCGGTTCGATGATGTCGGCGGCCGACTCTGACAACGACGGCTTCGTCCAGTACGACGAGTTCGAGCGCGTTTTGGCGGGCGGCCGCCGGCCGAGAAGCTCGGGAGTGATGGAGGACGTGTTCAAGGTGATGGACAAAGACGGGGACGGCAAGCTCAGCCACGAGGATCTGAAGAGCTACATGAGCAGCGCCGGCTTTGCCGCCTGCGACGAAGACATCAAGGCCATGATAAAATTGGGCGGCGGCGATGAGAACCAAGGGGTTACTTACGCTGGCTTGCTTAAGATCCTGGCCGTTGATCAAGTCGGCCAAGTCCAAGTTGCTAGGTCTTAATTTTTGGCTCAAATGTACCGATAATATAATTTAGTAAATATTCGATTCGATAATAGATGGACAATAAAGCTCCAGCAAGTTTTTCGCTGTATTTTCCGGCAAAGTGGTGGGAGAGGGGATTACGGTGTCGTTTCAATCTTTGTGATGACAAGAGCACAATTGATGGGGTGGGTTCCAGTTTCGTTTTGGTCGGTTTTGTTTACATTTGTTTGGAATATATTTTTGTACTAATATTCGATGATTTTTCTTTGGTTATAACTTGGTGGCGACATATTGGCAATGAACTGCATACCATTTTATCGGAAAGAGGATAACCGTAACTTATCATTAGTTATTTCTCTTAAAACAAAAACCCAAAAAAAATACTTTTTCTAATACTGCACACTGCGATTTGTCATCGCAAACTTTCATGTTTTAAAATGAACGGTCAAAATTATCACTTTTCAAATATCAGCTGTGGATATCAATTTATTAATATATCGTCGACATTTTATTTGATTTATTTATCAATTTCGAATAAATTGTGATTGGTTTTGATCAGTTAAGAGATGATTTCTAATAATTTTAGTTGATCTCCTCAAGACCAAAAGTAATCCGGGCCGGATAAAGACTACAGAGAAAGTAATCCGGGCCAGAAAACCACAGCCAGTATTTGCACCTACTTTCACAATACACAACTGTGAGTGTCACCAGTTTCTATTGGAGCCCAGCTACGAGCAGGAAGTGATTTTTGTTGATCTAGGAAAAACATCTTTCACTTCAATGCTACGTAACATTTGATGGTCTAAATTTATGAAACCACAAACTCATTTTTGTTCACATTCCCCCTCCAAACTTATTTTTTTCTAGCCTCTAGCCCATCAAATAATATTTATCCGAATAAAACCCAAAGATTAGGATCCAACTAAGCAACTTACCAAATTAAGTTTGTGCATCCGTTTTTATATTTTTTGGATCACTAAAATACCCCATCTAAGCCAGTATGGAAAGTTCTTGTAATTTTGTTTTATTTGATCACGTGCATTGAATTTGGCAAGGTCTTGTAGCCATGAAATATGGTTCTAGGTGGAGGAATTAATTTGGATTTTTTTTTAATTTGGACAATAAATTTCAATTTGAATATACCTAATTTAGTGTTTATTTTCAACAATATCTATTGTTTAATTTTTTGAAAATAATTTACCTACTATATAATTACAAGAAAAAATTTACCTACCATGAAAATTAATTTTTGAAAACAATATTCATTGTTTAATTTTATGAAAATAATTTATCTACTGTATAATTACATGAAAATTAATGTGCCTACTTTTTAAATTTGTAACAAAATTAATTTACCTACTTCTTTTTATGGTATTAGTATACATAAAGGTAGAATATACGTCCATATATATTTGATCTAATTAGGTTTTGGATTGGAGGAGTTCACACAAATTAAATGTCTAAAAGAAACGTATAAGAGATTTGGTGGCATGATTTTGTAAATAAACACAAATTGATGGACATCTTTTATCCAACATGACATCATATTTAAAATATGGGTTTTATTTAGAAGTTATAATAAATGTGGCTTTTTGTTTAGAGTCTAAGAGTTGCAAGGCTTAAATCTAAAGAACCCTAATTCCGAAAAACCAATAGATGTACCACTTCAAGCCCTACCATGTCCCTCCATCCCTCCCCCAAAACCCCTTTCACTAACATCGAAAACAATAACAATTGCGCACAACGAACATTCTTAGCCAATGATAAACGAAGAGTACATACAGATCTTGCTAGGGAGAAAATCGCTCCCCTAACTTGCACATTGATAGTTTCTTTTGAAAGAAAGGCACCGCAACATCAATAGTTTCCAAACAAATGTTGCAAAGCAGTAAGGCGGAGAGACCGCAGAATCATCTTTGATTTGAGGATTTCATCATTTTCAACATTCTACGTAGAAGCACGGGATGTTGCTCAGAAACTCACTCCCATGACTTGCATATTCTTTTTAGCTTCTGAAGAAACCGGCCAAGCAGTGAGGTGCTAGATGGTGCTCAGTATAAATCAATCTTCCCTTCCTCTACGAATTTCTTCACTGCTTTATAACGTACAAAGTATAACACATTAGGCTCCATTTCAAACGGTTCGTCCAATGGTCTCTGGCTCGCACTGTCACAAGGGGAATTGAAACCGGTAAGCGAAAAAAACAAGACACAACAGTTTCTTCTATAAGAGTAAAAATGTTTATGAATATATGAGTTGCCTGCTATCTGATTCTCCATCTGCATTGTCCTCGAGCTGGATATGTCCAAGATAGTACTTGGTTTTGCAGACAACAAATGTATCCAAATGCGGTCTTGGCACTGAAATTCGAACAGACAGAACATTGTTAGGGTTCAGAAGTCCAATCTACAACTGCCTAGCCTACCATATGATCAATATAAAAAAAATCTGTTTAGTAGAAAATAATATGCAGTTAAAGCAATTCAATTCAGTTAAAGCAAGATATCAAAAACAGTAATAACAGAGGAAATACCAAGTCTATGCGGGAAAGCTAAGAATTTGTCAAACAAAATAATGCATTTGTTTCTGATAAAAACTTCGTTATTAAACACACAAAAGGTTTGCAAATAAAGAAAAAACAGTAGAAAAAAAATCCTTGGTTCAATACACTGGCTTGTCATTGGATACCTCACCGCGTGCTAATGTTTTAAAGTTTTTCTAAGCAACAATACCGACCATTTATCACATCAAAATTTATAATAGTATAGTGCAAGTTATGTGGATCTGCCGAACAATATCAGAAAATGCAAGCATCTTAGGTAAATTTTCGAAAAGGCCACCACATAACTAGATATATTCGAATGAAAACTTTAAGCATTAACAGCATTTGGAACTGATCTTGGGTAAATGAGCTGTTACCATAATAGATACACATGCACATATAGGGTGGAGAGAGAACAGAGATGCATCACGAAAATCTGAAAGGATAATGTGAATGTTTACCCATGTCAGTCTCCTTTTCGCTTGATTGACGGAATACAGACTGATAAGTAGAAGGCAACTGCAACAGAACGCTCCTTTCAAGATGCGTCTGCAAATCAGCACAGCATCTGCAACGCATAACCATGTCAACTCCAAATCACAGTAAACCTTAAGCATGTGCGTCCATTAATAGAGTATAAAGTAAGGAGATAGTTGGAGCCCTCACCTTTCAACAAACACCTTCTCCTTATCAGAGAGACGGCTTTCGGCATTATCCCGGATGTGAAACATGTATTTCTCAATCTGCAAAACGAAGTTACTTGAGAAACAAATCACAAAGCAGAACCAACGCGGACTTGAAAAACCTGTCCTACCTAACATCATGAAACATAGTGAATGGTCATCTCTCTAATACCGAAAAACTAGCAAAGAAGCATACAGTTGATTTCAAATGCAATGAAAAAACAAAACCAAACATACACATTAAGAACAAGGAGAAAAGATTGCTACCTTCTGCAAACGAATTCGGTAATAAGATCTCAACAAGAATTGAGTCCTGTCCAAATCCATCTGGTAGAGTGATACGGTAAGCGGATCAATACCACTCTCAGTGAACTCCTCTACAGTTTCTTCCTGTTAAATCATATATCCAATTGGGGTTAGCAATAACACAAAAACACAAATTACTAGCACAAACTTCAACCGAATTAACACAGTAAACTAACAGTAAGATTATTTCTTCACTCTCTTACCGAATAATTAAAGTTAAAAAAAAAAAAGGAACAAAATCAATTGAGAATTTGAGAGACTTCGATGGATTTATAAATCCAGGGATCTTTATGGAGTTTAATTGATTTGTAGAGATTCCATATAAAATTTTGATTCAATTCCCTCGAAATCTCATGGGGAGAGGTGAAATTTGTGGATGCTTAAAATATACTACCAAGTCTCTCCAATTCTCTTCAATTCCTCGACTTTCTCAAATTCTTTAAAATCAATTTCTAATTGAATACACCTGGAATGGTATAAACTTAATTAAAATCCTAATTAAATACAACCGGATTTCTAAGGATTTTAATAAATTATCTTCAATTTCTAATTGAATATACCTTGAATTTCAGAAAATCACTTAAAATACTGATTGAATACCCCTATATTCATTAAAAGAATTAAAATCCCTCAAAATTCCAATTGAATACTCCCCTAAGTTAACATTTCTCCTATATCCACTACGGGCTCGTAACTCAACTGGTTAAAAGTGTCTATCTGAATCCGAGGTCTATTCGATTCCCAAATATCGTATGTATCGACAAGAAATAAACATTTCTCCCGTATTCATTTAATTTCCAATATCAAAATTTTTGTAGCTCAAATTCAACCAAGTCAAGCATGACAGTAAAAAACAGAAATTAGGGTTTTGTTTGTTTTGGATTTAGGGAAATTTACCATCAATTGGATCTGCTCTACGATTCTCCGAACCAAAGCACTCTCGAACTGAAGAATCTCCGGAGCGGCCTTCTCCTGCCGCCACGCCCTCTTCAGAAGCTCCACGTCCGTCTCGTAGACCTCCGTTGACCCCGAATCCAAGCCCGAGTCCAAACCCGAATCCATTCGATCCGATTCCCAAATTTTCCAGGATTCTTCCTCTCTTCGCTAATTCTCTCTTCTTCTTTTGAGTCTGGAGGGAAACAAAAACTGATTGAGAGGGAAATGTGAATCGAAACTGGCGCCAAAAAGCTAATATTTTCCTTTTGGAAAGTAAAACTAATTCAGAAAATTAAACAAAAAAAAAAAAAGATAAGGTGTTGATAGAGGAGACTGATCACGATTTTGTGCGTGAATCTAACACCGTTGGATTATCTATCAAACAGATGGACGGCTAAAAGGGGTTCGATTCACGCACAAACTGGAGATGTGTCCCGTCTGATATGATCTGATGGAGAATATGGGAGAATGGATATGAAGAAAAAGGGTTGGGAAATGTTTGCGATTTATAGAAGCAGGGGGATTGGGGGGGAGATCGACCGACACCCACTCGCGATTTGAACCAAACACTTGTATGTTTACGTGTACCCCAAAAAAATAACGTGGAAATCCACTTTAAATTTGAACTCTCCTTTTTCGCTAAAAAATAAATTTTATTAAGGTAAAGAGAATTTCCGAGAGCACCTGGAACTCAGACAGTTAAAAAAAAGTGTTTGCCCAAATATAAATATTTTCAACATTATGATCAAGAGAAGTAATGGCATCTGCGAGGAAATTAGTTTTTCTAAAGATTTGTTGCCACTAAATATAATTAAAAGAGTTTACCAGCTATGTAATGTCCTTAACAATAGTTCCGAACCTTCAAGAAATCTTGCAACGGCCAAGAATCCCATCATTAACCATCTTGGGGTTACATTCAATCACCACATCGTTGATATTTCCCAACTCATCTTCATCTTCATTATAACAAAAAGGTCAATTAGGCGAGATATTTAGATTGAATCTACTCAATCTTTTTGTAGTTTGTAGTCTTTCACGAATGAGAATCCAACTAAAAGTTTAACTTTATGTGGAATAGAAAGTTTCCACATTTTTGCTACAAGCTCATTTCTCGTGAGCATTTCTACTTTCCTCGATTTGGATCCAACCAGTGGTGGAGCCAGAAACTTCTTTGAGAAGGGGTGTTTGAGAAGTATCAAGAAATTAGACGAAATATAGTAATATATTGGAGAAAATTTTAAGGTCTCTTCTTTTTTTCTTTTAGCATGAAAAATTTATCGATGGGGATTTAAAATTTTATGAATTTTATTGAAATGATTATATCATAAGAACATAACTTATTTACGAGCTTTAATAAAAAAAGGAAGATTCAAACAAAAAATTAAGGTCACAACTCAAAAAATAATTTTACTCTAAATTATATAGAACTTGTCATATATGAACAGACTAAAAAAAGAATTAATTTTTATATGGTGAATAGAAAGCTAATTATAAGGTTCAGTTTAAAAACAAAACAAAGGTTGTTGACGACAACTTTTGAACCCCATGGGATTGTAGAATTGTCAAACTACACTCACCAATGCACTACAAGCTCTTGATCGCAAAACCTAGCGGACAACAAATATCAATTCGTAAAATTTCAGAATGGGTCTGGGCTTAACCTGGTCTCTATGTGGCTTCGTCCTTGGATTCAAGTAGCAATTTTGACTAATAACTCACCATTAGCAGAAGGCCCCCATTTAAACTCATCACGCTTCTCCTGTAAAGGAAAAGCAATACTACAAATTTTATTGGCAACGTCAGTAGAATCAAGAGACAAAATCAAATCTTTGTCCCATCTTCCACCCCTTAGAACATAACTAACTTTAAGATTCCAGTTGGTATTTAATCTCTGATCTTCTGGGGCAAGATGGAAAAGTGAGAAATGAAAAATCCAATTTTAGGTCCAAAACATAATGTTTTGACCATTTCCTAAAACTCACCTCATCCCCTTAAAGAGTACATTCCTAGCAGAGAGGATTCTCTTTCATGCCAAAGAATGATTTTGCCGAAATTTAGTGGCAAGCAAATACAGTATTATGGCAAGCTTATTATAAGACTTAGTTGTAACATCCCACATCGATCAATGGAGAGGGGGTGATGTACCTTATATGTACATGTCTACCTCCATGTAGCACGAGGTCTTTTGGGAACTCACTGGCTTCGGGTTCTATCGGAACTCCAAAGTTAAGTGAGTTCAGGCAAGAGCAATCCCAGGATGGGTGACCTGCTAGGAAGTTGCTCTTGAGTTTCCAAAAACAAAACCGTGAGGACATGGTCAAGGCCCAAAGCGGATAATATCATGCTACGGCGGAGTGGGTCTAGGATGTGATAGAATGGTATCAGAGCAACTCTGCCATGTGGTGTGAGTGTGTCGACGAGGATATCGAGCCCCTAAGGGAGATGGATTGTAACATCCCACATCGACCAACGGATAAAGGGGGTGATTTGCCTTATATGTACATGTCCACCTCCATATAGGACGAGACTTTTTGGAAATTCACTGGCTTCAGGTTCCATCGGAACTCCGAAATTAAGCGACTTCGGGCGAGAGCAATCCCAAGATGGATGACCTACTGGGAAGTTGCTCGTGAGTTCCCAGAAACAAAACTGTGAGGGCATGGCCAGGCCCAAAGCGGACAATATCGTGGTATGGCGAAACCGGTCTGGGATGTGACATTAGCTCACTCCCCCACCCTCTTAGTGTAGATACCATCGTTTGTTCAAAACAATATATATTTTTTTGTATAATTGAAAGAAAAGAAAAATCATGAGCATTGAAGTAATTTTGCAGTAAAAATTGTGTTTTTTTTCTTTCCTTCACACATGTTATCAAAGCATGTCTCTAATTTAAGAATAAAAATAACCGCCGTTTCACTCTTGCTCTTTCTTTCTCTCTCACATTTCTCTCTTACTTTTCTTTCTTTCATATTATAATGTTTTTTGGAATTGTTACTGGCACTCTAAACTTTATATGGTTAGAAAGAAAAATACATTTGTGAGTTAGAAAGAAAAATACACTTATGAAGAGTGTAGAATAAGACTTTTAAGTGCTAATAACAAAATTTAAAATATATATATATATATATTTAGGAGCTCCATCTAGCATGTTCGAAGCTTTTTCAACTTTGTCAAGCACGATGAAAGTGCGTAGTTGGCCACTGCGGAAGTGGACTCCACGAATAAATCGGTAACAAAACGATTTACAAGTTTCCAGACATTTTTTTTGTTCTTTGTTAGTGTTTCTATACCTTCTAACCCCGTAATAATAATAATAAAAGGCCTAAGTGAATTATGAGTCTCCATAATAATAGAATAGTCGGAAGGTAGTCCATACAATGAAAATAAAATAAGGATTTAAGCTCATGTGATGAAGTCTAATAGGATTTAGGTTGAAAATTGAAATTTCCGTCAATTCTCCATTAATTATTAACACGTGAGCCACACGTATAAGGGTAAAATAAAACTCTCTGGTAATTGTTTGTGAGTCTATATGTGAGACTGACTTTAGCTAACTTTATCTTTTTAGCCTTATAAGTGAGCCTTATGTATTAAAAATTAATGAAAAGTTACGAAACTTTTAATTGTAAACTTAAATTATAACAGATTTCATCACATAAATCTAAATTCTAAATTCTTTTACGACATAGTTTATCTTCCAACTATTCTATCACCATTAAAATTATTAATTCAATTAAGCCATAAAATAAGCTTTGTGAATTTGTAAAAGAAGAGAGGCGAGGGCCTCCCTCCAAAAGCCGTTGTGATTTGTATATGAAAATCGTGCTAATTTAATAAGCGGCAGTCTGCAATGCGTAGTTAAGCATTCACAAAAGTTTGAGCCTTCAGGATTCACGCGTTATGGATCAATCTTGTCTATAAGGAAAAAGACAAGATAGCTGAGAGCCTTACTAACTTATGCACCGCTGTACGTATGTGATACTTTTTTAGTCGAATAATGTTTTTCATGCCATATTTTTATACCATATTTCTATACCATTTTAGGTGGCATCTGATGTGGACAGCTACATCATTTGAAAAATTTGCAAAACCCAAGGAAAGAAATAAGAAAGACTCCTTGTATACCACAATCATCATTTAATTAACTAATTTTTCTTAATTATTAGCTTATTAAATAATGAACTAAATTTAAAAATCTGATTAATTTAAATGATGTGGCTGTCTATATCAAATGTCACCTAAGATAATATGAAAATATGGTACAAAAATACAATACGAATATCATTACTCTTTTTAGTCTTCAGTGGCTAGTTTATGTTTTTCCAATGATCTAGATTCGAACACTTTCTAAGCTTCTACCACACATTCATGGTTACAATCTTTTTCGTATATTTTTTTTATTATTTTGTTGTAACGTACTATACTTCTCAACTTTTAAAAGTTAGTCTACAGAAGCTTTTGGTTTAAATACCAAATTTAAAATAATTTAACTTGAAATATTATATTTTTAGTTTAGGTATAAAGTCAAATAATTTGCTAGTTAAAACGACAATAATGTTCAACCTTAACATCATTAAGATGTATAAGCATAATTACTTTACGTAACTAGATTATATTATTCTTTCCGATTATTGATTGATTAGGAAAGTAATTTTACAAACTAAATCTTATAGAATATACTGCCGTTGATTATTCAGAAGCTTTTGGTTGGGATTTTTTTTCATGATCCCATTGTTATTCCTAGCTCTGCCATTGACTTCAGTGCTGAACGCAGTTCATTTTCTAATGATGATTACAAACTAGATACGATGTGTTGGTGCAAAATTTGAATCAACTTTTATTAAGAAGGGAAAATTTAGCAATGTCGCTAAATTGATTTGCGATTTGACTTTCCATTAGGTTTTGAGCCTTGTAATTAAATTACTCTACACTAGAAAGAGTGAAAAGGTTTGAACTCTTTGAACCAAGAGAAAGACCCAAACCACAATAAAAATTGAACCGAGGCATATTTTAAAACGTCCTTAACCGAATGGAAGTAATAACCCTCAACGTAACTGAAAGTGGGCCTGTAGATTTTCTAAGCCCATCTTTAGTTTAATTGGGCCATTTTGTTATGGACCTTTTGTTGTGTCTCTTCTTTCTTCTGCATTTTAGGCCCATATATAACATCGTCTCCCAAACGCGCTGTTTAAAAAGAAAGGAAAATCAAAACTCGTTTTTCTCCCGCCAAGCAAACGAACCAGAGAAAATGAGAGAGAACCGAACACCGCTCAAGGACCAATCCCGACATGTGAAGCTCGCGACTCCCGTTCCCAAGAAGAAGGTACGATTTCGAAACCCTAATAGTTTCCTCACCTCAACATTCGATTTCGATCGACATTTCTGATTCGCCGAGTTTCTCTCGCAGATTCCGAAGAAGAGCTTGAACACCGTCTTTTCTGCAGTTTCGGAAGACGAACCGGTGGATAATTTCAAGATTTCAGTGGATTCTACTCCGATTTCTGAGTGTTCCAAGATTTCAGTGGATTACACTCCGATTTCTGTGATTTCTGATGTGGATTTCACCGAGGTAAGCTCCAATTTCAGTCCCACTTTTTGAAAATTTTCGTTTTAAATTTCAGTTCGATTTTCGTTTTTGATTTATCGGTTTTATTTCTCTTGATTTGTTATACGTCTTAGCTCAGGTCGATTGGATTTGAATCGATCTTAATGTGCCTGTTTGGTTACTGAGAAAATGTCCGAATGAAATGAAATATCTGAATATTTCTGTTGGTTTGAAATTGACTGTGTAATTGTGATTGTGAGGATTTTAATTGCATATTTTATCGTTCAGAGTATGATGCTGGTGCCGGATCCAGCTCTGTCGATGCCATCAGAGACATTGCTTCCATCCAATGTCTCACTGTCTCCGGAGGCCAGTGTCAATAAGGATGGACTGGGCAATGTCTCTCTAAGTAGTGGTAAATCAAGCGAATTTGATGGCTCGAACTTTGTTTCTATGGAGGCTGACATTGTGGAGAGATTTCTCAGGCAAGCGCGGACTCAGGTCTTGAATTCCGAGGTGGATACTAAATCTAAGAAGATTCTGGATGCGCTGGTTGACATTGTCTTAGAGGAGCTCCACACTTCACCTGCAGAGAGGGACTGGGTAACTGAACTTCTGTCGACAAAAATTTACATAACAATGGCGTGTTTTGTGCTCTGGATCATTGCATTGGCTGTCTGGGTGTTCGGCTCTGGACGCCGAAACACTTTTCGTGGACCTCTGCCAACTTGAGCAGTAAGACCTCTTGTCTTGGGGCGTAGCGGTTTAGCTTTTATTCTTCCAATTTGAGCTGATTTAATCCTCTTGTTCTTGGCATTGTGCTCATGGTTGTGGGCATGCACAGTTCACAATGGATAGTTTTATCAATATCTGAAATATTAGTTGTGTACACATATATGCTCATGGCTTTAGTATGGATAGTTGTCCACTCCTATCCAATCCTCGTCACCAAACGAGCCCCAAATGTGATATTCTAGTATCCCCATTCCAATATTAGTAATTTTGTGTTCGTGACTTTTAGTCTTTCAGCATGCCAATTTTCATTAGTTTGTGACTTGTCATTGGAGATTTACTAGAAACTGGATTGTACCCTTTCTACTCATTTTTACAAGGACATTCTTGAGCCCTTCTGTTGTACAATTGTTTTTTCTTTTCTTTTGGCCCACAGAAATAAGTTAACATGTCCAATTTTGTGTACTGGGTTGAGCCCAGATTTTGGTCCATATGTACACATGCTCCACACTTGTGCAATCTTATCAATGCATTGAAGAGGACTTTGATGCCCTAATGTTAAGTTGTTTAGGTTAATGCAAGTAAAAGAACTCCTGATATGAGCATCTGGTTTTCCTTGTCTGGCAAGTCATTCTGAAAACTAGTTTGGGTACCATACTTTATGACACAGAACTAGTTTTGACACCGTACTTTTGACGACACATAACTAATTGATTTAAATTTAACCAAGTGAGTATGATCAAGGATTTTAGTTAAATGGTTCTGTGACTTCTGTCCGTCGTCTAGCAGTTATGTGTGCCCCAACTATGAAATTCCAATATACTAAACATTTGAATCATCTTCTGTAATTATTGGTAATGCGAAAACCGGTTGCTTGAGCCCTCCGGTTTATCCACCAACTAGTTTGCTTAATTTGTCATTCTGTTAGGATTGGGGTTTCATGGTGCTCATCATTTTGTCTGCTTAATTTGCTGTTTATCGTTTTGTTTGCTCTCTACCTATATAGACATATTTGGAAAAAAAGAGAGGTGGCGGATGTGTTGATTGCTGATTTACTATAGCTGAATCTTAGTAATATATTAGATTAAAAAAAAGACATATCCACTTGGTGAATCTGGTAGAACACATTCTTGAACGGTTGAAATCATCATTCATTAGCCAAGCTAGGTCTGTGATGACATAAGCAATGCGATCATACCATCTTAAAAAATCTGTTAAAACTAAACTATGATGGTAAGTTGAATTTCAATTGGAACATGGGGAAGAAAAACCAGTCAAACCTTAGGGTCAAAGATTTGTTCTAATTTACAGCACTAAACAATCTTAGGGAATAGATTAATGGAGGGGAGGTGAATTTTTAGACGACAGCTATAAGTTGGTTTTTCAAACGCTTGTCGTCCTTCTAGTTATTAATGATTTCCTTCTAGTTAAATCTTTTGTCTTTAATCCTCCTAAATTGACAGCAGAGGCCTAATTGCTTTTATTTTAATGTAACAAGGACTCCGGAGAACAGATGAGGAACGGGATAAACTTCTACTGTGAGAGCAACTTGCTGGAGGGAACCAATCAAATCGCGCCGACGAATGGTCCGCAGGTAAATGTCTTGTTTTTAAATCTTGAAAATAATTTGTAGTTTAGTGACAGTGCAAGAAGGAGAGAGCTAGCTCTACTTAAAATCAAAGATTCTGATTTGGGTATAATTCCCAAAGGAAGGAGAGTTTGTTGTTGTTTAAAGTAGTGATTAGCATAATTAGAGGGAAAAACACTAGGAGCCATGGATGAAGATTCTGTGTTGAAATCATTGGTTTGGTTATGTTCAATCTTCCCATAAACAAATTTATCTTAGTGCCAAAAACCTAGTTTAATCACATAGTAGGGCATATGTAGGTGTCCAATTAACATATCACAAGTTTTCTTTTGTTTCCTTAGAATTTAGTTACATAAGAGAATAACTTACATGTAACGGGCTTTTACTTCTGTCTATTTGTATCTCTCATCATGTGATCAGTCACATTCTAGGAGATGTAGAGATAGTGGGAAGAAACTCTTTAACGACCTCTACTTCTCTCTCTACATCCCACAACACGTGATAAGCCACATCTTGAGAGATGCAAAAAGAGAAGTTTTTGCCGACTAGGTTCATACAGTATTTACTATAGAGATTAGAGATCTAAAAAGATAGATATTTAGTGATAATCTAGTGAGATATTTATAATCATACTTCACACCAAACCACCACAACCATTGGTCAGGATTCATTTCCGGAACCCTTGATTTGAACCCATATTATTCACCCTTCCAACCTTCAACATTCATATGTACCTATCTTTAATTTTTTGGGTTTTTCCGGTGCTTTTTCCATCCCCTCTCACTTTTTTGTGCCTCAATTGTTTGATTGTGTCTGTCACAGGGGAGGCAATCCCTCTGGTGCATCATAATGCCACCTTGTGGTGGGTTTTTTTAGACTTTCAAAAGCATATTTTAAGGTTTCTTAGTATACAATAACACATGCCCACCATGATTTATGATGAGAATTAGGATTAGGTTCATGATTAACAAAACTTTAAGACATAAGCTAAACTAATCCCAAAACCATAAGTGATATGCGCATCTGGGCCTTCGTTTATCCCATTGTCAGGTTGTTGGCACTATTTGTCGTTTAAAAAAAAAATTGTTTATTTTTGGTTTTGGACCAAATAATTGTTGCTAGATCTGGCATTGGAATTATGTCGACGGTGGTGTTCCTCCGACTTGTGCCCGATGAAATGTTCCTTGGATAGGAATCATAGGGTTAAATTAGGAAAATTCATTATTTTTTTTATTTTCAACATTTTTGCTATATTTTAATTTTAGAGTTTAAGATTTAATAGGATGAAATCAAAGTAGAGTCAAGCGAAATAGGATTGTCCAGTTGTGTTTCGATGCTTGTATTGTATCATTCATGAAATATGTTATGCATGTGTTAGAAGTTACCACAAGTTACGGTAAGGGAGGAAAATAAAATGGATTTAGATAGAGAAAGTTTGGAGTAAATGGTTGTTCAATTAGCTATTTTATTACCCTTATGTGAGGATTCTCTTAGTATAAGGTATTCATTAAACTTAACTAGTCCCCATAGTTATGCATAAATTTCACATTGCACTATGAAATTCACAACGCTTCTTTGGCCAAATGTTTTGTGTCTCAATTTGTCATTCAGCATCAATTCTGCCAACAATTCCGTCAAAATCAAAGACACAACTCTCTAATTTTTTTTTCACTTGGATGCCATGTTAGTGATTTTGACGAAGTTTTTAAGGGAATTGACTGTAAGAGGTAAACTGAGATATCAAATATCGATCAGGAAAGCAATGCTATTATAATTTTCGGTGAGCAATGTATAATTTGACCAGCGCTACAACAGTTCTATGGGTTATGGAAGCCAACCAAAAACAAAAGAGAGGGTTTTCTTTTACTTTAAGAATATAAAACGATAATTATGTCGCAAATTGCGATTATAGTATGAAAAATATCTTGTTTTCTTAACAAAATAAAAACATTAATAAAAGGAAGAAGCCCTGTCGGGAGGAAATGCGGAGTTGGAGTTGGAGTTGGAGCATAACTGCATGTTTTTTTTATAAATTCTCTGATACTTCATGTTTTTTTTTTATAATACTGTATAATATTAATACAAAAATTAACATTAAATTATAAAATAACAAAAAATTCATAAATAATTTCGTTTTGAGAGACTCCTTTAGCATTTCTCGGTACAAATACGAAGGCCTGGGAAGGATACCAAAAGTGCCAGAGAACGCAACCCACATTGCACATGGATTTCCCCTTTGTTTATCATTTCTTTTCTGGATCACCACCATTCAAAAAATCATTGCAGGGAATGAAAACAAAACATTTTATGTGGGACCCCCGGACCTGGTCAATTAGTGGAAGCCAACACCACCACCATCCCATCCAATAAAATTGTTACATTTATATGCCCCCTTAATCTTAATCTTCAATCTTTAATCCTTAATCTATACTTCCATCATGTGTATCATTAATGTATTGGATGGTGTTTGTTGGGTTAAGTTTCCTCTTCAATCAAATTTTAAATTATTTTATTCGGTGGCCTTCCTTTTCATTGGCAGGTGTTACTTCTCACTAAATTAAACTTTGTTTTCTCTTAATTCTTTTTTGAATTTTTGGTATTACTTCTCACGTTTTCTTGAATTTAAATGTTCCTTGGGTTTTGGATTTTGTGTGTTGGCTTAGCTTAGCTACTAATTAGGAAGATAATTAATTAATTAAAGTATTCAAGTTAGCATAGTTGTGTGACTTGTATTCTTCTAGATTAGATGTTAAATTTAGGTAAGGGGCTTGATCACAAAAGGGACAATGGCAAAACTTTTGTCAAGGGGAGGTCATTTAGGTATGCCATACAACTTTCAGTGAAATTTAGGGCATGTTTATAGCCTAATAGGTTTAAAGGAACAAACGTGGACCTAAGCAAAGAAGGGGCAAGGTTGATAGCAATGCATAACAAGATCAAATTTGTTGGTTTATGATAAACTTACAGTATTCAACTTAAAACTAATTGATACGAAATTTTTACAGTTTTTGAGTTCTTTTGTTTCCATCTTAATTAGCTCGTCATTTATGATTGATTTGGAACTAAATGTGTGGTTTAATCAAACTTAGCTTCATAAAACCACATGTAGACAAATTGAGATAAAGATACGCACTTTTATGTATAAGAGAAATTTCGTTGCGCTTGAATACAAAATTCAAACATTTATCATGTTTTTTATTATTAACTTAAACCGTCTATCTAGTCATATTTCTTTTCACATGTAGAGAAGTAAAATTAAATAATTACACAATCCTATTTCACTATTACCCATATGGTATTGAGGAAACAGTTCGTTAAAAAAAATTCATAAGAATACTTTAGTTAGTTAGACTTTATATCATGCAAGAAAATGAATTTTGAATAGAAAAGTTATAAGAACATTTTATCGTATTTCGCAAGTGATCGATTATCTTGATATATAAGATTTTTCTGTTTAATTCGCTGCTTCTTTAGCATTGTGGTACCTCCTTCTTAATGGTAGATTAGAGTATATATCGGTAGTAAAAATGGTATTCGGAAAAAGAAAAAGGAAGAATAAATCTGAGAAACGACATTTCCCAACAATAACTAGTGAGTGCGTTTTAGGAAATCACGCGTGCTGTCTTCTGATTCCTTTATAAGCCTCTTCCCACCGTTCCTCCTCTTCTTAATAGTCCCCACCTTCTCTCTCTCTCTCCATCCCTTCCACCCCCAACCACCTCCGTTCCGTTCCGTTCCGTTCTCTCTCTCCTTCTCATTCCTCTGTTGGAACAGAAAACCGAAATCCCCTTTCAAATACCATTCCAATTCCTCCGTTTGATTCCGAATCCTCACACTCTCAATTTAAGGGGAGAATCAAAATCCATGGCGTCGACTCTGATTTCGAATGCCGTAGCCACCCCCGAACGAGCCCGGGATCCTTCTAGAAGGAAAAAGAAGAAGAAAATCCAATCCAAACAAGACCACCTCCACCACCAAGAACCCGCCAACAGCCACACCAAGTGGAAGTCCGAGGCACAGCAGCACCTCTACTCCTCCAAGCTCCTCCACGCCCTCAACCAAGTCTCCATTAACCCCGCACCCGACTCCTCCGCCCCTGCCGCCAACTCCTCCGCTTCCACTTCTACTCCACCACGCGGCCGAGCCGTTCGCGAGACTGCCGACAGAGTACTCGCCGTCGCAGCTAAGGGTAAGACCCGCTGGAGCCGCGCCATTCTCACCAGCCGCCTTAAAATCAAGTTCCGCCAGCATAAACGGCAGAGATCCGCCGCTGCGTCGGGGACCGGGTCGACCCGTCCCAGGAAGACCAAGTTCAGTGTTCAGCGGCTGAAAGGGAGGGGCTTGCCGGCCGTGCAGAAGAAAGTACGGGTTCTCGGCCGTTTGGTTCCCGGTTGCCGGAAACAGCCGTTGCCGGTGATTCTAGAAGAAGCGACTGATTACATCGCGGCTCTGGAGATGCAGGTCCGAGCCATGAGCCGGCTCACTCAGCTGCTCTCCGGTTCAACTTCCGGCTCCACTTGATTGAACGGGGCTGGCATGTTGCCATGGGTTCCTATGTCGATCAATCTTCTTTTTTTTTTCTTTTTTTTTTTCCCCTCTTTTTTTTTTTTTTCTTTTTTGGCTCTCAGTGCAAGTAATTGTCATTTACCCTGTTAAAAACATAATGTCTAGCTCTTCTCTTTTTCATTTTCCAGTAATTCTATTTCCACCCACACCACTACGAAAAAAATGGAAGAAATCTTCAATTGAATAACCAAATTATAATCATTTTTATAGGTATTATTATTATTGGATAATTTAGGTACGTGTTTATTTGGGTTTATCCTACAACCCGATTTTCACTCTCTTAGTTTTAGGTACCAATTTTGTTCTTAATGTAGCTGTCAAGAGAAGAAGGGTTTGTTTACAAGTGTTTTAAAAAAAATGTTTTTAGATTTCAAAAGCATCCGAAGTGCATTTTGAAAGAAGCACCTAAGCTTTTCAAGTGTTCTTTCACTATTCACTTGCTTTTTTTATTAAAAATTTGTTTCAAAAATATTTTCATTAAAATTATTTTCTGTCGTTTTAAAAATATTTTTAAATGAGCTCTAAAATTTTGTGAAAATGATAATCTTAATCTTCAAATTGTACAAAATAACTGGTGCCTAATTCTGAACTATAAAATAGAGCAAATATTGTGTTACTATCTTTTTATTGAAGATATGGAGGATAACTAATTTTCTCTTAGTTCAGCGGTATGTACAAGAATTTGAGAATTCAATTCAAATTTAATTGGCAATCCGTGGTGAGACTCTTTTAAGCAATTGCAATAAACACTATTTAGACGCACAAAAATGCATCCTCATGTAGAAAATTTATATATACGTTGACAATGCCTGTAGTATTATAAAGTATGTGAGCTATGATGTCTCATTTGTGTCTTAAATACCCATTATTCTTTCACGCAGTACCAACAGGTGGATGGTTCTTATTGGGTAACGTGCGCATGTTATATCGTTGTGTTTGTCACATTTATCATCTGTTTTTATATCATGTTATAATGTAATCATCTACTCGTTGTCAATTGGTTTTAACGTGAAAGCTGCAACAACATTTAAGTAGCAAGGATAGAACTCTATGGAGCTATTGGGTTAGTTTTGACATGACCGATCACTTGCAAGTTTGGGGACACACACATTGTAACCACTTAGAAATGACAAGACCTTTTTGAATGTTGTGAAGGAAGAAGGGAAGAGGGAAGGGGCAATTTAAACATGTTAGGAAAATGAATAATGGAATCCAATATCGTATGGGGTTTTGGTCATACACGTATCTCTCAGCGAGCAAAATGCTTACTATAGTGGGACTGTAGGGGGTAGATAAGTAAAAAGAATGGGGGTAGAAAGAAAGAAAGCTGCCGAAAGTGTCAATACAAATAATATGAGAGAAGACTAATTGAAGAATGACGGGATTTTTATGATGTTTCAGAGTATTAAATATTCTAATTTTTTAAAACTAAAATCTAACAGTTTATTGGCATGCGATGATCCGGAGCAACATAGAATTATTGGGAAGGAGGTGGTGGGTTAAATTACAACATATATATATATATATATATATGCATGTGCGTTTGTCGTCCCTACCGGACAAGAGCACACTAGTCCCGATTTGGGGCGATTGCTGGTTCTATCTGTGCCCCCTTCTGTGCTCACCTGCCCCTCTTCACAGGAGTAACATATTTTGGTTAATACGTTTTTGGACAAAAACTCTCATTTTATCACGGGGTATGATTCTTTTCACTCTAAATCACTCTGTTTTTCAATTCTCTTATATTTTTACAGTTACGGTTAAGCAAGGTCAACATCTGATGTTGATTTCTTTATACAAAGATAGAAAAGGGAAGTAAGAGACGAAAAGATCGGATGGGAGAGAATCATACTTCTTTCATCACTCACTTTGCTGGCTAGCAGTGTCACAATCCTTCTCCACGTGTCCCTCCACAGAGAGAGAGATGAAGGGGTCTTCAACACACACACGGGTGTTTATGTTTCATCGCTATCAGTGGGATTGGATTAGGGTTTTTGATGATTGAATTGGATTGACTGGGGCAGGATAACTAGCTCCCTTGTAATAATATCGTTCAAAAAGGACCACATGCACCACAACAATTGCTCATACTGTCAATATATGCATACGACTCAGAGACTCAGGGGTTTGAAAACGAAAACGAAGCGTGTGTGTGTGAGAGAGAGAGAGAGAGAGAGAGAGAGAGAGAAGAGAAGCGCAGAGGAGAAAGAGCACATGGTGGCATTGATTTCATTTGGCATACAAACACCAGACTACACATGCAAGCCATGTGCATTATTTAATCCCCCTTCTCCCTATTAGTCCTTTTGAAGACAGTTGTTGACATGTCTTGGCTTTTGAACGTTGATAATACATCGGTAACCTCGTAAGTCAAAGCAAAACTAATATCGACATCTCTCGAAGCTGATAAATATCAAATTATGAATCGCTATTAGGTTAAAGTATCGATAATATCAATTACATATTCATTTGTCAAAAGAGTATATTTAAGCGCACTCGTAGCCATATAAATATCAATTTTGAATTGCTGTTAGGTTAAAGTGTCGACAATATCAATTACATATTCATCTACGAAAAAAAGTACATTTAATTCGTAGCCTTGTATACTCAAAAGTTTTACACCACATATCTTCCAAAGAAACAATCTTATGTCAAGAACGTACAATTTTTGTTTGTCAAATAATAGATTTGTTAGATTAAATGTTAGATTAGAGAGTCGACAGAGTTCGAACCCATGTCTCCAAAGAAACAATCTTATGTCAGGAACGTACAATTAGATGTACCTAGAAACCGAGTGTCGTTACATAATTGGATGTTGAATTTGATCCAACGACTTAAAAGTAGTAAGAGATCTTATATTATATTTGAGGCACTGGTTGTTACATAATTGACCGTTGGCTTTTGATTTAATAGCTTAAAACTGATAATCGCGGACCATTAGATTTGATCTAGTGGCTTCAAAGATGTAGACCTTCAATACATGTAGATACTTAAGAAAAATATTTATAATTGCATTGGTCTTCTCTCCCTTTTGGGGGCGCAAGTGCAATTTTCAATAATATCACCCTATAAATCCATTAGCAATAATACATCGCCCAATTACTCTCTCCACTTACTTAATATATTCCACGAGTGGTATGATTTCATATTGATGATGAATAACCTTAAAATTATCATGGTGTTTATTGAGAGCTAAGGAAGCATCTGTAATCAGTCCGACATTCAACAGCAAATTGCCTTTGTTGTTAAGTTTAAAGGTTTTCCCACCCACCACACCAAATGCACCAATCTACTCATGCATTTGACAACATTTGGTTTCATATGATTATCACTAACACAATGTTTTGTATTCCTTGTGAAGTCATCGGAGTCTTACTAATTCAAGTATTATAATATGATTGATATGAGGTTTATATATATATTTTTTAATACATCGATATTTTTTATACTAAAGAGGAGGGGGAATTCGGTTAAGCCACACAATGGGCAACCTAATTTGGTATCAAATTCGTCATCCATGAGATTCAAACTTAAGACCTCTCATTTCCAAGTGAAGATAAATATCACCAGACCGTAGTAATGAATGACAAGAATTATATTTAGAGTATATCTATATCTATGTATCTATGTATCTATGTATCTATATAAAGTGAGAAGACTAAAAAGGTGAAACATTCAAAATGCCAAAAAATGCCCCTCCCTAATTAAGAATTCCACAACAAAACAATTTAATTAACAAGGGTAAAATAGTAAAACTAGATCATTTTGAAAATTTCAAACAAAGCACCCACGATGTGGGTGGTTACTTGATGAAATTAATATTACTATATTTGACAAAAAAAAAAAAAAATCAATTAGCATACACGTAAGCATGTACTAAGAGGCTAGTTATTAATAAAAAGACCGGTTACAATATTGCGGGTATCATAAAATTATCACTAAAACCATGTCTACTCATGCATTTGAGAACATATTTGGTTTCATATAATTATCACCAAGCATGTCTCGTAATCCTATTATGGAGAAGATCATAGTGTTACTAATTTAGGGATTATATTATGAATGGACGATAATGTGTATTTTAGCGTATGTATTATTAATACATAAATTACGTGTTATAATATTAGTGTAATTTTGGAATTACATTCTTAACTGTTGATAGAGAAAAATAAATGATGGAAACACCTGGTTTATAAAAATTTACAAGATGCACCACATCTATTCATATCTAATCTTACGATCAAGATGTAAGGGATTTTGTTGCTCAACTCGTTAAAAGCATTTACTCGTAAACTCAACTTTGATTCTCATTCAGTCATCTTTATATCTCCCCGATTACTATACAAAACAAAAGATCTGTTTGCAGAGATGGCGGAGTTGTTAGCATGCATATTAATTAGCCCCGACCCACTCAAAGATAAGAACACGAAATTAACGTCCATACATGTTTACTTTGCCCAAACTCCATGAAACCTAATCATAAATCTATTGGAGGTTGCCGGCTCCACAAAAGCATCATTTCATTAGTCGCAAGCATGTGCTTCTCTTAGCAGTTACATCAGTAGTATTGCCCAAGCATGCATGTTTCTGCTTTATATATATATATATATATATATATATATATATATATATTGAATTTTACCATGAAATAGTGAATTGAATGAGTCTGCTTTAGAACAGTAAAGTCAATTGCTTTTGAAAGGATATAACAGAATAAGTTGCATTTGCAGTACTATATTGCACGCACTTGATTAATTTGTTTATTATTTGGAGTTGGATAGATATGATGTTCTTTGGCCAGCTAGCGTTGTAAACCAAGTTAGGTATATAAATCTTTGTTCCAGGCATCCAGCTAGGTTACTGAAACAAATAACATTGTTTATATCTTCCACTAATTTTATATATTCTTTTGCTAACTTTTTTTTTTAATATGGAATCAAAGCTCAAAATGATGTTATTTTAGTTGCTTTCAATTGAGTTTAACCATATATATCACCAGTGAGAGAGTTTCCTTCTTTCACACTTCACATTACCAATGCATAATTCTCCGAAAGGTTGAGACGGGACCATATATATAGTGTCATAGTGATTAGATTTGTAGACGAGCAATTTATGTATGA